AAGATTTCAATTTTTCGCATTTTTTAAAACTTTCTTATTGGAAAAAAATAAAAAAATTAGAACTTTTATTTGATTGCAGAACGAATAAAACAGTAAAATGTTATGAATATCTAAAAATTTACATTTAATCAAATTGAAATCATGAATTATCATGGCAACAGTAAGCTGGCATGTCCGTATAGATTTACAAATAATTGTCAAAAAATCTTCTTTTTTTCAAAAAATTCCTTAAAAAGTATATAAAAATGATACATTAAAAGCAAAAATCCCTTTAAATAGAGAAAGTGTATACTAGTTCGGTTATAAAGAATAAATTTATTGTTGTTTATATTGTATAGATGCCTTGCGTGATGCAAACCACCGTTTCGTTTTCGTATTCTCATAGTCGCGATCTGTTACTGGACCAGGTCCGTCTCGAGAGCGCGCAGCAGGTAATTTAACAGTGATCGATGGCGGGTGGATGTCATGATTGCCTTCATCGTCGGGATAGGCATCTCGGAATATAGTAACGGAATGCCACACGCCCAGTATTAATGGTCCGTGTGTAACACAGAGAATTTCGGTATCGGCGTTCTCTCCGGGCGGCTGTATTAACGGAAGTGACGCGTCGGCGTGGCTGATCAATACGGCTTACTACCACTGGCACATTTTGCATCGGTCAATCGCGTTTGCATAAAAAGCGTATTGCTGCATTATTTAAATGTTGTTCCACAAAGACGTCAACATCGATTAAACAGGACATATCTATTTACAGATATTTTTCGTTGCACTTCTAACGGGGTCTTTCATCGATCCTATCGAATTCGATGAGACGACGTATATAAAAGTGACATGCATTTTTTTTTTGTCAAAACCGCGACGCAAATTCCTAAATTGTCAGTTTTTGTTATTATATATAATCAAATGTTAAACATTTTAAACATCGATAAATATAAGTTTTTGTAATAATACTTTGCTCTGTAATAATAGCGCTGATTTCTATTAGCTCTAATTTTTTCATTGTGATTTGTTAAACATAAGGAATCAAAATTTTTTATAAATAGAAAAATATGAGATGTATTTTTACTATATTATAAATGTCAAAGTTTAAAGAGCTGAAACATCTCGTCGAAGTTTGAAATTCGCTTTTTCTATAACGCTTTGACATTTATTGCAGAAAAATGATTTCGGCCGTCAAAATTTGAGGGAGTGTTTCACACCTTTAAATCTCTGACAGGATTTTATGAAAAATAAATTTACGTGCCTCATATTTTCCCATGTTGTACAAATCTATATTTGTTTCAAAAAACTCTCTAAAAGAAATATATATGTTCTCTCATGAATTCCAACGTTTTCGGATTTTCAACATTTACGCATTCGATTAACGTGTGAACGATAGCGGAATTTGCGTGTTAAAAATAATTTGACATGATCACACGTATTTCTAAAACGATTATTCGATCTCGATGCGTTCTATAGGATGTTTCAATAGTTTCAATTAATCGTGAATTTGACGATTGAAGCGCCATCTTGTAACATAAATCGGATTGCATTATCGTCAATAATTGTATCGATTTCGCGATGTAGGCAGCTTCGATGATATCCGTAACATGGACTAGTAAATGCCATTTACAATAGTCTGATAAATGTTCGTACAAACGCGAGTTGCAATCAATCGTGCACGCGTATCGTGAATATCACGATCCGTATTCACGCGCGGCACGTTTACTTTTATACATTGCAGAATCGGTTCCCTCTGCTTCCTTTCCACCCCCTTGTTTTTTTTTCCTGCCGTCATTTCCTTTCACAATCGCGAATGGAGTCAGCAATACTGAAGCCTCGCAATCCTCGAGCTAAACCGTTTCCACAGCGGATACTGCGCGCGGTTCTATTATTTTTTTTTCTATAAAAAGCCTTCGCGCCTCACGTTTCACACGTGATGCCGTTTGTCGCATACGATTCTCACGCTATGCCGATTATACAATCGCGAATACACCAAGTTGAAATTGTTGCTATATAACAGGCTCTCTCTATTCAACTTTGCATTGAATTACATATGAGTAATTGCGAGATGAAATTTTCAAACAGCGAGTACTTGAACTTCGAAGCACCACTCATGACGTAGAAAAAGAAAAGTAACAGCATTAGCTTACAATACTTTACGTCAGAGCTATACAGAGGACTATAATCTGGCTCCGTGTGGTAATAGTTATTGATAAAGACATTATTATCTGTAGGTGAGCATAGACGCGATACGTGAGTCGATAAAACGCATCGAGGCACTCTACAATAATGTCTTAGCATTTTTAGAACGTTCTCTCTTTTCGTAAAGCAGCAAGTCTTATTATTTCCGAACACAACAGTCGTTTGCATGGAACGTGGAATAAAAAGCTTACATCGATGTATGACAACGGTATGCGCCTCGATGTTCAAAAAGAACGTCGTTGCTGCGGTGCACGATGCATTTCTTATTGATAACTATGAAGCATGAAAGACTATTTATAACTAGGTCTAATGAAATTGCTCTACATCGAATCGACGTCATTGACGAAGCTGTTGGATCCTAAATACGAGTCAATATCGGGAACTTTCCTTCGTATTTAGAATCTGATCATCAGCACGTGTAAATTTAATTATTGTTTAATCATGTTACAAACCCAAATAACGAATAGTCTACATGTCAAATTAATTTCTTGCATAAAATACAAAAAATAATTTCTCATAAGAAAATAGAAATATATATATCAAACTGGCTATTTTTTAGATACTTTCAAATATTTTATAAATATTTCAAAAAATGTTTGTAAATTATAAAATATTTATGAGCAAAGGATAACTGTAATAGCGCTGATAGTATTTTTAAAAAAATTACATATCTTCTATTTTAAATTTAAGTAAAATTTACTTTGGATTATTCTTTTTTAAAATTTTCTATATAGTTTTAATTATTTTTTGCCTGAATGTATTGATTGTTTATTTAATTCCTGAATTTTTGAACAAACATATTTGTTTTAAATAAGTTATAAATTGTCCTCATTTTACTAATGGAGTGAAAAGGAAGAGAAATATATAAAACAAAAATTATGTATAAAACTGATTAATCATCTATTTAATGTAATAAATATCAATGGTGAAATATTTTATAATTTAACTTAGTCATTCTCAATCGAATGATAATGTAATGCAGGTAAACAAATTAATAAACTAAATATTAAATGTGAAACGTTTAAACGAATTATAAAAATGAAAACAAAGGCAAACGCTCCAATCATTCCAATGTTTAATTTTTAACATTTTACTTAACTTATTAATTTAATTAATTAATTAATTTATATATTTATTAGATTAGTAATTTTCTAAATATTCGATTGAAGATGATTAAATTAAGTTGAAACGTTTCGTCACTAACATTTATATTAAATAAATAATAATAATTTTTTTTACTTAATTTGAATTTGTTTTACATGGCCTCTTTTTCTTCTCATTCTATTATACCTCATTTTGTATGATTTTCCGGTTTGTTTATGAAAATTATGGAGCGAGAGCGCAGTTGGTTTTTTCAGTAGTACGAGTCAATAGCGCGATTCGCGGGTCGCGCACGAACGGGATTTACTACTTATTGAGGCGACGCGTCGCGCCGTAACGCGGCGTAACTACTTGTTCATGGCGCGCCGTCCGTGTCCCGTATTAATGCCGCTTTGCAAATCCGTTCACCGGCTTGAATGAGAGTAGATTGTAGAAATTAATTAATGATCGAGTATCTTTATGACAATGTGCAAAATTTCTTATCGCGACGTTGCGATCGGCGGTAGTCGTAAAACGTTCTACGTCGGTATTTGCAGAGACTCCGGAATACCAGACATTGCGTGTGCCACAGCTCGTTCAACCCCGCATTTACGACCCTTTCTCACGCTAACGAGAAAACAGTTTACACAGGCATCCTAATGAACCAATTTTCCATCTGAAATACCGACGCCCGAGATATCATGAATTTTAACTAATTTTGAAAAAGCCTGCGGGCAGTATAACATTGTATTATTCGTTCTGGCCATCGCGCGTATTATTTGTGGAGTAAAATTATTTCAAGCACGTATTATTGGGAATATGGATCAGCAATTTTTTTGCTCGTACAACCGCATAAATTCAATCGTGCTGGCAGCATGCAACGATTTCAGTCTTCTTTTTATAGCCTTTCGTGATGGCGATGGGATAACGTTTATTCCAAGTAACTAGAGAGATCGCCATCGCCTCGTAAAGTAATCACGGATGGCGGTGTAGGCAGCTGTTATCGGAATTAGGCATCTTACAGTGAGACTAATCTGTTTTCTCTCTCTCTCTCTCTCTATCTATCTCTATCTCTCTCTCTCTGCATTACAGTTGTGCGAAAACGAGTCTCGCGACGTGCATTCGCTCCGGAAATTCGAGCGAAACTCGACGGCATCGCTAATTAGGATCACTTAGCTTCTACGAGTGCGGGAGCGATCCAACTTCCAAGAGGTGAGTTTAGTCTTTTCACATTATCAAAAGCATGTCATGCTGAATGCGTACTACGCAAAATTACGTAATATAATTTCGTGGAAAATCTCGAAAAGAATCTCTTGCGTGAGTATTCTAAATATTTATTCGAAAGAGTCTCGAGATGTAAAAGTAACGTCCATTTAACATGCCGTTGTAAATCGGGGGCACGAAACGCGGTTTTCCAACCTTTTGAACTCTGAATAATCGTGTTCGGAGCGAGCCGAGACTCCGCAACGATTTCTCAAGACGTTGCACCCCTGGAGCGAGCAAACGCATCGTCGAAAAAGGCAGCTTGCTCGGCCGCTGGTGGTGGAGAAAGAGGCAGGGTAGGACCGGTGCTTGTACCTCTCGAGAGGGGGTGGCGAGGTGGTGGCGAGGTTCACGGTAGTCTCGCCACCGAGCGTACGTCGGCTAGCTCCGACGTCGTTCGGTTCTGACCGGCTTTATCAGCGCCGGCGCTGTCACCCCTTTGACGTAGCAAAATGGCGGCGGCGTGTCGGAGGCGTCTCCGTTCGCACAGTGCTCGACGTCGCGCAGTCCGCGTATGTTCGCAATAACGTTCCAGCGGATCAACGTCGGCGTCGGTGACAGATCGAGCGGCACGCGATCGTGGCACCGCACTCCGATCACGCGCGCGTCAGACACGTTCCTTCTTCCGGTAACGCTGCACGTCGCTGACGCACGTTACTACCACCCTCCACCCCCCTCGTACACAGCGGAGCGAAATCGAGTGCACGGCGTGCGGGTTACGCGGTTGCGGTCGACACGGAAACGACGACGTGAAGAGCAGTGAGCGAACGGTACCAGGAGCGAGGGGGGGGAAGGAAAAAGAGAGAGATCACGGTTTACTGTGTATTCGGTACGTGAGATATTCATCAAGAGTTCTCGCGACACCGCGTGCTTCTTCCGTTCTTCTTCGTCCCTTCATCCCCTTTTCCTTTCCCCTTCTCCCTCTCTCTCTCTCTCTCCCTCTCTCTCTCTCTCCCTCTCTCTCTCTCTCTCCCTCTCTCTCTCTCTCCCTCTCTCTCTCTCTCTCCCTCTCTCTCTCTCTCCCTCTCTCTCTTTCTCTCTTTGACCTATCCATCGTTCCGAATTCGGTCCCGGAGCGCGCGGGAGCCCCTCCGTTTTTTCTTTCTATTTTTTTCCCATTCGTCCCGATCCGTTTTGTTCCCAGTCTCTCTCCTATCTTTCTCTCTCTCTCTCTCTCTCTCTCTCTCTCTCTCTCTCTGTCTATCTTACGTGCCCAGCGCTCTTTCACGGTACCGTAGTGAAATGCGCGTGACCGGTCGCGCCTCGGAACGACGGCGACGACGTGTCTGGCGTCGTTGGTGGTGCACGTTCCCCTGACGAGCACGAGAGACGCGCGACGGCGACTCGGAACATCCCTTGCAGCCCTCGCTACTATGATAATAACGAAAAGCACGGTGACGGCGGCGGCGGCGGCGACGACAACGACGACGACGACGACGACGGCGACGGCGACTCGGTGGCCACTTCTCCAGAATCGAGAGACGCTTGGTCGAATTTATCACAACGTCGGTGGAAAACGGCGATCAACGACGGACTTACATAGCGATGCTGTCTCGGCGATGTTGTCTCGCAATTGCGGCCGTCGCGTGGCACACGGGAACGACAACAGCAACATCATCGAGCCGCAGTGGATCAGCGATAGCCACACAGAAATCGTATCGGTGCTGCCGTACTACTATTATTGCCAGCGTCTCGCTATTATTAGCATCGTAGCCTCATTACTCGTCGACGACGACGTTCGCGGGGACGATTTGATATCAGGACGACTTTTGGAGCACCGGGACGACAACAACACGGCAACGAGCAGTGACGATCTTCGTCTTCTCAACCGTCGGAACGACGGTTTTCTACGTTGTTGCGCGTGACCAAGAGCCTTGCTATTTCTAGCCGCAATCGACGATACGCGCGACGGAAGGAGTGCAACCGATGATTAGCAAGGCGGCGTGCGAACGTTAATCCGCCAGCGTTAATCCCTTCTCGTATCTCAGTAAAGACTGATAGCGAGTCAATCGTTGATAATAACGCGTGTACATTAGTCATTTTCCGCGCCGATCGATCGTCATCGCGCCGGTATACAGAGAAAACAGTGTTACAGGCGAGTGCATAGGAACTCGTGTCACGTACGGTCATCGGCCAGTGTACACACACCGGCAGGGGAAGGGTGGGAGGGGGTGAACCAGGGTATAGGAGCGACGGGGGAGAAGGAGCCAGGTATCGTTGATCCAGATAAACCGGTGTATCGCGACAAGGTATACGGATGGACGCTTCGCCGCGGTCAACCTGTGACGAACTGTAAACAGAAATATTCCGTTAAGAAGTGAAGAGAGATAATAAAAAAAAAGCGCATTCGAGGTGCTCGTACTTACCTCGTACTTTCCGTACTTTCAAGCTTTTGCGCGTAACCAGCGTGTACGTCGCGACTATAAACACGGATTTCAAACGTAACGTATACTTATACAGACACATATATATCTGTATACGTGTGGATGAGACACGTATTTCGCGTTTGTACATTGTACGTGATAGAGACGCATAGTGAGCAAAGAGCAGGGAGATAAAAAGAACGAAAGACAGAGAGAATAAGACAGAGAGAGAGAGAGAGAGAGGGGGGGGGGAGGGGGAAAGAGAGAGAGAGAGAGAGGGGGGGGGGGGAGGGAGAAAGAGAGAGAGAGAGAGAGGGAGAGGGAGAGAAAGAAAAAGAGAGAAAGGAGGATTATTAGTGCAGGCGTGCAGAGGATACTTAGCCTGCGTATCGTATACGAGACAGTGTATCTACACGAACCGGCGCGTGTTTCATCGTAAAGCAGCGTATAACTTTCAATACGGATCTCTACACGAATTGAGTGCACTGCTCGGTTGATTAGAGACAACTTGAAAGATTCAGCCGAGTAAAGGGGGATCCTCCGAACATGTCGCTGCTCAGCGTAACGGGTAAGCGTTTCTCTCATTCAATTTTCCGCCAAGACTGGTGATTTATTACACTTCCAACGAGATATAATTATCGAATTTAATTAGTGAAACATCTGCCAGTAGATTTGGGATTGTACTGTAACGAAGCAGCCTGAGTCTCGTTAAATTCTTTTCAAATTCTTCGAAAGATTTAAATTTATTATCATGATTTTTAGATTTATAGTGATTTATAGTGATTTACAAATGTTACGATTCTTTTTAATTTTTTTTTTCTTTTTGTTTTCAAAATAATTATTTCGAGTATATTCCATATAGACAGAATCTTGCAGCAATGTTGCTTGAGATAATTATTTAGAGAAAAAGAAAAATATTGTTGAAATAATCTACGTTGTTTGGGTGTTACACGAGTTTCTATTTAAGAGAAAAGAAAAAATTGAACTGGTCGTCAAATTTGTATGTGGAAATGCAGACGCGATTGAGAATCACGTCGAAATTTGTTGTTAAAACCTCCGCAGTTCGGAATGGCGAAACGTGCGATACAACGCTATTAAATTCTCGTGCAAAAAGCAGGCGGCTGGGTAGAAATAGTTTCGATAGTTTCGACTTCTTCGTGAGGTTTTTTTCGTCGGAGATAAAAACTCCTTCCTGTTGGAAAAGTTCAAAGAGGATTTTTCGGACTTTCCTGGATTTGCGTGTTGCAAGGAGAAAAAAAAAAGAACAGCAAAAACTCTGGAAACTACCGCGTGGTATCAATCATTGTTTCGTCACGGGGCGGACACGTGAGAGAGGCGAGTTAAGTGCGACGCGTGATGTAATTAGTGCTAATGAAATCGCTAATTGCGTTAATTGGAGACGCGACTCATGATGGCATGTCGTTAATGATGGGCATTAAGTATCGCGAAAAAGTTCTCGTTTGCATTTCTCACTGTGGCTATTCTCAACGAGCGAGGTGGTGCAACTTGTACAATTGCGTGATGATGCACTTCATTTTCAGTGCGATACCATAGAGAAATTACAATGCTGCGGTTGGATTATAATCTAGCACAACGACGTGATACTGTTGCGCGATACGCAAATCGATCGGCTGCCTTTATCGTTATCGCACATCTCTCGTTCTCATTGTCTCGCATCGTATCGTGCTCGATTATCGACTTAGAAATGTGATTTATACAGCGTCTTGCTTTTCGCGGATACACACATATATACATATATACATACACGTCGCCGAATACGAACGTACGTAGAATCGATATCGAAACGTCATGCGATAGCACGTAACTGTAACTTGATTTTATGATGGATGCAGGACGGTTATATCCATCATAACTTAATATCGTCACGGATATCTACTGTGCTAGGTAGAAAATATAGGCGCGGCCGACCGGCTAAAAAATATAATCGCACATAAAGCGATTTCGAAAGCGGAAGCTCACCGTTCCGCAAGCAGCTGCACGCGCGATACTGAAATCTGACTTGACTTGACGTTGCGAAATAATCCAATGTTCGCGAAAGAATCCCGCTGGAGAGGAGGTATATATACAAATTTTGTGTATATTTTTATATGCAGCGTTTCTCGTACATCTTATGAAGGTACGGAAAAATAGCTGCACGCTGAAATTATTAATGTCTGGTGCTTCGCGAGTGGATCATAATTTCGATATATACGCTCTACGTGATTCGTTATATCTGAGATTAAACGATTAACAACGTCGACCAATGTTAGTATAGGATTTTGTTGTGTATCTAATTATTAATAACCGCGTTTTAAAGAATATCGATATTTCGATACTTCGTTAAATGAACGGTGTGTGTTGTACACTTTCAAATTTTCCCTCGTTCGCTATATTTTTCCAGCGGGTTTAAAACTCGACAGGCAAAATAGTATTGCGTTATTTTATACGACGTATCTTTCCTGGTGTTACATGCCACGGCCTTTAACATGCATTGTTCACGCGTGAATCTAGATAAAAATATCTCCTCTCTCGAGTTTCTACTTTCTCCCACGTATTTCGCATAGGCGAATGTTCGGGGGAGATAGCTGACATCGTCTAGGCGAGAAAGCTATTCGAGAGAGGTGGAGGACCCAGAGATATATCGTTTGACAATAACGAGAAATAATGTTCGGCGTCGCCGTCTCGCCGCCAGTCTCATCCCGCGTGTATTCATAAATATCGCGTCGACGGCAATGCGCAATATACCTGCGCCGTATATATATGACACGACAGTAAGGCGAGTAAGAACAACCACCTGACTCAGGTGTGCTCAGGTGGCTTCTTCCAGGCCTGTGCATATACACATCTAACTCGTATATATCAGAGCGTGCGAGCGAACGAGGCTCGTCCATGACTATGAGACACGGAGAGAGCATAGTGCAACGGTTGACCCCGGGTACGCGGGGTCATTCCCTCCTTCAGCTACCGCCGCTTCAACCCCACTCGCCGCCCGCCACCACCACCCCCTACCGCGGCTCTTTTTTGCCATCCTCCTCCCACCTCTTCTCTCTGATACCCACCGCCGCCCTTTTCATCCTCTGCCTTCGTCTTCCTAACCGCGACCTGCTACTATCCACCTCCTCTCTCCTCTCTCTCTCTCTCTCTCTCTCTCTCTCTCTCTCTCTTTCTATCTGTCTATCTATCTATCTCTTTCGGTCTCTCTCTTACCGTGCTTGTCGGGTAAACGACGAGCAGCGATGTATCTACCAGGTGGTACGACCTATGTAAACCCACCGGTATATAATACTACCTCGGTCGAGCCAGCTTGGATTTTCCCTCTGTCCGTGAGTCAAGAGACGAAGTTAAGCACGGAAAATCGGTGTTATACATTGCAGCGATTGTTGTTCGCCGGGGTCTCTTCGTGCTTTTCGTGCTTCTCGCGCGTTCCGAAGACGATAGGATTACGAAAAGCGACGTATCGTTGGGAAAGGGCAGCAATTTGCGTGCGGAAACAGCGATCGGACTTAAACCGCCGTTGGCTGTGATTAAAGCGAGCTTGCGCACACGGTCAATTTATCTCTCCTTAGTTTTAGATTTAGATTCTCAGCGATTTGATTAAAACGATTCGTTCGTACTGCAGCTATTTTTCGTAGAATAAACAGTCTTGGAGGGATATTCTAAAATACCCGAGACGCTTTTAAAATATTTGAACAATGATTTAAAAGGGATACGTTTCAACTATGTACGCATATATATAGAAAAGGATGTAAAGTCTTTTCAGAGGAGAAAAATTCGCGGACATTTGCTTAAGAAAAAGTACTGTCGTAAGAACTATAACGATAGCATCGGACGAGAAACGATAGCGTAAAGGCGAGAGGAAGTCGGCGAGGAGCAAGAAGTGATTGAGGGGTGCTGTCACCCTCCTCATCACCTGAAAAAGAAACTCTTTCACTCTTCAAGCTCAATCCACTCACACTCCTTTTTATGCTTATAATCATTTTGTTATCACCCGTATAAACAGTTCGTCTAGTTCTCGATACTTTTTTTAAGTGTTTTTTATGATTTCTCGAAAGCTTGATTTTTTTTAAAGAATTGTCTAAATTCCGTCCCATACCTCTCGGAATGTCCAAAAGAAGTGCGGGAGAAAAGAAAAAGTTCGGACGATCTCGTTTGCGATGATAAGTGCGACACAAGTAAAAAGCTAGCCGAAATTTGAGAGGATTTTCTTCAGCATGATTTTTTCGGCGTGCTCTCGTTGTAGCACACAGCATTGTCGTTATAAATCTTCTCGTTATATTTCCTCTCTTCAGCGAAAACACAACAGTTTCAATGGCGACGTCTCTGGCAGAGACCTACTTTCTTTCTATCGTTTCCACGTTGCTCGCTCGTGTATGCCCGCATATTTACGCGCTATGTTTCATCACCATGACGCCAGAAATGTGTCATCGTTAATGGAGATGAAATGCTCGCAATAACGATGACAATGCGTTTTATTTGCATTATCACGCGAATTTTTATTTTCGCGTGTTGTCGCGCAAAGTCGTACACGACATGCGACTGATTGGGATAGCATGTTGCAGAAATACGAAAAATCTAAAAGAAGTTTTGGCACGTATCGCATTTCGCACGAAGCTATTTCTTCAAGTCCATTTTATGTAATTTATTATTTTACAGCAAGCATATTTTTAGAATTATTACGCGACTGTTTCAGTTTAGTCTGAAAAGAAATAACAAAAATGATTTTAATATATAATGTTTTACGTGAAATCATTTCATCCTCTCTCTCTTTCTCTCTCTCTCATTCTAAATAACTAAAATTTTCATTTCATGTTATCTCATGTAAGTTATCAATTTAAGAATATAGACAAAAATTTATGAATAATAATATGTACCTTATATGTACGAAAAATATATAGTTGCTTTAGGATAAAAATATTTCGCTGAACGAAAATTCCCGTGAAATGCTGATTTTCGGGAAAACGGTGATGCAAAATGACTCCCCGCGTTACGTTGCATTACCTCGTTCCTTCGATTTCCTTGAATGAGGAAATTCGGTGGTCGATTTGCGGTAGTTCTGGCGCACTTTAAAGCCGTGCACGTGTGCGCACACTAACACACACTTACACAGACGAACGCGCGGGAGGGTTTCTTCAGGAAAAGGAAGAAGGAGCGTTATCTCAGGCACGGAAACTACCCTCGCAAACCATTCGTAAACGAAGGTTGATCTTATCCACCTTTGGAAACGAGATCTTCTGAGCTTTTCCTTGAGGCTGGCACCTCTTAA